GCCAAGAGGCACATGAAAACATGCTCAAATTCCCTAATTATCCGAGAGATGCAAATCAAAACAACAATGTGATACCATCTCACACTTGACAGAATGGCTATCATCAACAAATGAACAAATGGCAAGTGTTGGTGAGGCTGCAGAGAAAAAGGAACCCTCATGCACTGCTGGTGGGAATGCAGACTGGTACAACCACTGTGGAGAACAGTATGGAGCTTCCTCAAAAAACTGAAAATGGAACTCCCATTTGATCCAGTAATCCCACTCCTAGGAATATCCCAAGAAACTACAAACACCAGTCAGAAAGGATATATGCACCCCCTTGTTCATAGCAGCATAATTTACAATAGCTAGGAGTTGGAAACAGCCTAGGTACCCGTCAGCAGATGATTGGATAAAAAAAAAAAAAAACCATGGTATATCTACACAATGGAATACTATGCTGCCATAAAAAAGAAGAAATTCTTATCATTTGCAGCAACCTGGATGGAACTGAAGAACATCATGCTGAGTGAAATAAGCCAGTCAATGAAAAAAAACCCACATGATCTCACTTATTTATGCATAATAAGGAACATTATAAACTGATAAACAAAAAGATAGATACAGAGACATAAAGAAACAAACAGATTCTCAAATTACAGTGGGGAGCGTAGGGAGATATGGCGGAGATAAGAGATCAACCAAAGGACTTGTATGCAAGCATATAAGCATAACCAATGGACGAAAAACTCTGGGGAGGGAGGGCATGTATGGCAGTGGGGTGGGGAGTGGGGATTGGTAAGGTATGTACATATATAATACCTTAATTTAAAAATGAGGGGGGAAAAAAGAAAAAGAAAGAAAGAAAGAAAAAGAAAGAAAGAAAGAAAGAAAGAAAGAAAGAAAGAAAGAAAGAAAGAAAGAAAGAAAGAAAGAAAGAAAGAAAGAAAGAAAGAAAGAAAGAAAGAAAGAAAGAAAGAAAGAAAGAAAGAAAGAAAGAAAGAAAGAAAGAAAGAAAGAAAGAAAGAAAGAAAGAAAGAAAGAAAGAAAGAAAGAAAGAAAGAGAGAGAGAGAGACATATGGGGAAAAGTTCAGTTACTGATCATCGGAGAGATGAAAATCAAAACGATGATGAAATTTCACCTGTACCTATCAGAATGGCTATCACCTACAAATCAAACAACAGCAACTGCTGGAAATGTCATGGAGAAAAGGCAACTCTGTATACTGCTGGTGTGAATGCAGACGGGTGCAGCCATTTTAGAAAACACTATGAAGTTTCTGCAAGAAATAAATAATGGAACCCCCTTTTGGCCCAGTCATTCCACTTCTAGAAATATATCTTTATTGCTCTTTCTGAAGATTGCTGGTTGTATACAAAAGTACAACAGATTTTGTATAGTAATTTTGTTCCTCCAAATTTACTGAAACTATTAATGAAAACCACAATTATTTCCAACAGTTTTTGGTGGTGTCTTTATGTTTTTCAATATAAAAAAACATGCCATCTGGAAATGTGACATTTTTGCCTCTTCTTTTACCATTTAGATTCCTATTATTTGTTTCCTGCCTAATAGCTCTGGCTAGGACTTCTAATACTATCCTAATATATAAAAACCCAGGGTCAGTAACAACTGACTGGAGGCTCGACCAAACACTGGAAGTCAATCTTGCATTCAGTGCTGGGTTGCTGTGGCAACCCAGGACTGACTGCCACCAGTGCAGTTGCAGTGACCCAGCACTGACTGCCAAGGGGGCTGTGGATCAGGCCTAGATAGAGGCCTGGAGAGATAGGCAAGGTCTGATCCATGGCAGCTGTTAATCAGCCATTGCCTCTCTCTCTTCATCAGCAATGCACCTGTTTCTCTCTGAGCCTCCATAGGGGCTTCTGATCAGCCCCTCCTCTCTGATCAGGCCTGGAGGTAGGCCCAGAGATGTTAACTGGCATAGAAACCAACCAATCAGAAACAAATCTGAGTGAACTGTGAGGAGATAATGGTTGGCATAGGAGGTGGAGCTTTTGACATTGACTGGCATAGAAACTGACCAATCATAACCAAATTATATGGCAAGGGAGGGCAATTAGGAGTAAGATCAGGACAGCAGGAGAGGGCTATTGGGAGCGAGATCAGGCTGGCAGGGAGAGCAGTTGGGGGTGAGATCAAGCCAGCAGGGGAGGGCCATTGGGAGTGAGATCATGCCAGCAGTGGAGGGCATTGGGGGTGAGATCAAGTCAGTAAGGAAGCCGTTGGGGATAAGATCAGGCCAGCAGGGGAGAGCAGTTGGGGGCAACCAAACCAGCAGGGGTGGGCTGTTGGAGAAGAGATCAGGTTAGCAGTGAAGCGCCATTAGGGGCAATATCGGGCCAGCAGGGGCGGGCCATTGGGAGTGAGATCATGCCAGCAGTGGAGAGCATTGGGGGTGAGATCAAGTCAGCAAGGGAGAGCCCTTGGGGCAAGATGAGGCAAGCAGGGGAGAGGAGTTGGGAGCAACCAGGCCAGCAGGGGACGGTAGTTGGGGGCAGAATCAGGCAGACAGGGGAGGTCAGTTAGGGGTGGCAATCGGACAAGCAGAGGCACTTAGGGGTGATCAGGCTGGCAGGGGAGAGCAGTTAGGGGAGGGCCACTGGAGATGAGATCAGACCAGCAAAAGAGGGTAGTTTTGGGCAACCAGGCTAGCAGGAAGGACAGTTGGAAGCAAGATCAGGCCAGCAGGGTAGATCCATTGGGGGTGAGATCAGACCAGCAGGGAGGGTAGTTGGGGGCAACCAGGCTAGCAGGGAAGGCAGCTGGAGGCAAGTTCAGGCCGGCAGGGGAGGGCAGCTGAGGGCAAGGTCAGACAGGCAGGCAGAGGGGTTGGGGCAATCAGGTAGGCAGGTAGAGGCAGTTAGGGGTGACCGGGCAGGTAGGTGATGGTTAGGAGCCAGCAGTTCCAGATTGAGAGAGGGATGTCCAACTGCCGGTTTAGGCCCAGTCCCTCTGTCAGACATCACCAAGGGGCTCCCAATTGGAGAGGGTTCAGGCTGGGCTGAGGGTATCCCCCCCCACCACTGTGAACAAATTTTGTGCACTGGGCCACTAGTGTTAAAACAAAGTGGTGGATGTGGGCGACTTTTTCTTGATCTTTATCTTAAGAGAGAGGTTTTCAACTTTTGCCAGCGAGTATGGTATTAACTATGGTCTTATCATATATGGTCTTTATTATGTTGAAATACTTTCCATCTATACCCACTTTGTTGAGAGTTTTTATCATAAATAGACGTTGGTTGCTTTTTGTGCCTCTGCTGAAATGATTACATGATTTTTTTATCTTTCATTTTGTTGATGTCATGTAAAATTGATTTTCATTTGTTGAACCATTTCTGCATTTCTGGAATAAATCCATTGTGCTCAAAAAGGTGTATAAGCTTTTTAATGTACTGTTGAATTCTTTACTAATATTTTCTGAGGATTTTTTTTTGCATTTTGTTCATCAGAGATTTTTACTTGTTTTTCTTTATTGTGGTATCTTTCTCTAGTTTTTATAACAATGTAATACTATTCTTGCAAGAGTGTTCACTCCTCATTAAATTTTTTTTGCAAGACTTTGAACAGAATTGGTATTAAGTCTTCTTTGAATGCTTGGTAGAATTCACCAGTGAAACAATTTAATTCTCAACTTTATTTTTGGGAAAATTTTTATTACAGATTCAAACTCCTTGCTAATAGACAGTTTGTTTGGATTTTCTATTCAAAATTCTGTCATAGAAGACTGCATATTTCTAGAAATGTATTCATTTCTTGTAGTTTGTCCATTTTGTTGGCATATGATTGTTCAAGGTAATGTCTTTTAATCCTTTGTTTCTTTGATAATCAGTTATAACTTCTCTTTTATTTCTGATTTATTCATTTGTGTCCTTTTTTCTTTATGAGTCTAGCTAATGGTTTGTTAGTTCTGTTTATCATTTCATATAACCAGCTTTTATTTCACTAATTTTTTCTATTGTCTTTTAAGTCTATATTTTATTTATTTCTGCTCTTTATTCTTATTTCCTTTCTTCTATAAACTTTGGGCTTTGTTTTTTATTCTTTTTCTAGTTTCTCTAGATCTAAGGTTAGATTTCTTAACTGAGTTTTTTTCTGTTTGTGTGAGATAGATCTGCATTGCTATAAACTTCACTTTTAGAACTGCTTTTGAAAAACAAAACATATCAGAGGGGAAAAAAAGATTATATCAGGAAATGCTCCTTAAAAAAAGAACTACTTTTGCTGCATGCCACATATTTTAGTGTGTTGCATTTTTACTTTCATTTGATGTTCTTATTAACTCATTGGTTTTTCAGTGGCATTTTGTTTTATCTTCATATATTAATAATTTTCCAGTTTCCTTTTGTAATTGATTCCCAGTTTAATATCAATATGTTCAGAGAAGATGCTTGATATGGTTTTAATCCTCTCAAATTTATTGAGATTTATTTCATGGCGTAGTAAATTATCTATCCTGGAAATTTGTCATGTGCATGTGAGAAGAATGTTTATTCTGCTGCTTTGATTAAATTTTCTCATATGTTTAGTAAATTCATCTATTCTAAAGTGTCATTTAAGGCCAAATTTCCTCATTAATTTTTTTGTCTAGATAATATATCCAGATTGATGTAAATGGAATATTAACGTCCCCCCAATATTACTGTATTGCTGTCAATTTCTTCCCATGTACCAAAGGGTCACAGGTTCATCCAGTTAGGAAACATACTCGGGTTTGCAGGTTTGAGCTTGGTCAGGGCACATGTGGGAAGCAACCAATTGATGTATCTCTTGCCCTCCTCTTTCTCTAAAATCAATAAAAATTTTATCACAATCAACACAAACCTAATTTTTACATTTATATTGAATATAATAATTACCCAGAAAATGAAAGGGAAAAAATTCAAGCAAAAAAAAAGGCATAGAGAATTTTTAAAAATAGAATCAAATAATGCAAATAATGAGATTGAATTCTAACAGCACATATTACTATTTTTATTTTGAGTATTTCTTTACCTGTGGATATTCTTGGATCTTAACATTTGTCTTTTGTCCATTTGAATCTGCAATTTGTACTTTTTTTGTTTCTCTCTCCAATGGTAGAGATGGTGAAGCTACAACGTTAACTTCTGTGTCACTTGTAGTCCTCTCAATTTTTGTCTTGCTTTTCCTGTCACTTTTAAGTAACTCCCCTTGATTTAGGAAATACTTTAGTTGATGCTTAGCTTTTTCTGCTTCCTATTTGAAAAAAGTAACCATTGATCAAGTATTACTTTTGTGACATTTTTCCTAACAATATTGCAACTTTCAAAAATATACATATATTCATGCCCAAATTATCTCTCAATTTTATTTTTACTGAGTTGAAGAAATGTAAGTTAAATCACCAATATAATCCATAGTTTAAAAGATCCTCAATTTCATTTAAACTATGAAAATCCTCTTCCATTTTAGGGCTATGTTTATATCCAGGAGTTCCTAGTGCTCTTATTTCTTATTTTTTATTGAATTTATTGGGGTGACATTGTTTAATAAAATTATACATGTTTCAGAATGGCTACCATTAATAGATCAATAAACAAGTGTAGGTAAGCTTATCACACTTCTATTATTATAGACTAGAGGCCTGGTGCACAAAATTTGAGCATGGGAGTGGAGGGGGGGTTGTCACTCAGTCCATCCTGCACCCTCTCCAATCTGGGACCCTTCAAGGGATGTCCGACTGCCCGTTGGGATCAGGCATAAATGGGCAGTCGGACATCACTCTCTCAATTCAGGACTGCTGGTTCCCAACTGCTCACCTGCCTGCCTTCCTGATTGCTCCTAACAGCTTCTGCCTGCCAATCTGATCACCCCTAACCACTCCCATGCCAGCCTGATTGATGTCTAACTGCTCCTCTGCCAGCCTGTTTGCCCCCAACTTCCCTCCTCTTCCAGCCTGGTCACCCCTAACTGCCCTCCCCTGCAGGGTTGATCACCTTCAACTGCCCTCCCTTTCAGGCCTGGTGCCTCCCAACTGCCCTCCTCTGCTTGCCTGATCACCCATAACTGCCTTCCTTTGCAGGCCTAGTTCCTCCCAACTGCCCTCCCCTGCTGGCCTTCTTGTGGTGGCCATCTTGTGTCCACATGGGGACAGGATCTTTGACCACATGGGGGCAGCCATATTGTGTGTTGGAGTGATGGTCAATATGCATATTACTCTTTTATTAGATAGGATAGAGGCCTGGTACATGGCTGGGGGCCAGCTGGTTTGCCCTGAAGGGTGTCCCAGATCAGGGTGGGGGTTCCCTTGGGTCATGGGGTGACCTGAGTGAAGGGCCTGTGGTGGTTTTCAGGCCAGCCATGCCCCCCGGAGACCCAAGTGGAGGGCCTGGTATCTGGGATTTATTTACCTTCTACAATTAAAACTTTGTAGTCTGAAGCAGCGCCAAGCCTCCTGCTTGCTCTGTGGGTGGCAGCAGTTTCTGTTTGGATTTGTTTACCTACTATAATTAAAACTTTTTAGCCTTGAGTTGAGGCCTAGGCCAGCTAGGGCAGGCAGAAAGCTTGACTTCTTCCGTTGCCTGGGAAACCCAAGCCTCCCTCCTGCTCTCTGTGGTTGTAACCATCTTGGTTGGGTTTATTTGCATATTTTCTCTGATTGGCTGGTGGTTGTGGCTGGTGGACATGGCTGGTGGGTGTAGCAGAGTGATGGTTAATTTGCATATTACTCTTTTATTAGGTAGGATGAGCAGCCTGGTGCATAAAATTCATGCACGTGGCAGGGGGGGGGGGCGGTGGAGGGGGTTGTCCCTCAGCCCAGCCTGCACCCTCTCCAATCTGGGATCCCTCTCATAATCTAAGATTGCTAGCTCCCAACTGCTAGCCTGCCTGCTTTTCTGATTGCCCCTAACTACTTCTTCCTGCCAGCCTGATCACCCCCTAAGCACTCCCCTGCCAGCCTGATTGATGCCTAACTTCTCCTCTGCCAGCCTGTTTGCCCCTAAATGCCCTCCACTGCAGGCCTGGTAACCCCCAACCTCTTCCCTGCAGGCCTGGGTCCCTTCCAACTGCCCTTCTCTGCAGGCATGGTCACCCCCAACTTCCTTCCTCTGCTGGCTTGGTCACCCCTAACTGCCCTCCACTTCAGGCTTGATTGTCCCCAACTGCCCTCCCCTGCAGGCTTAGTCCCTCCAAGCTGCCTTCCCCTGCTAGCCATCTTGTGGTATCCACATAGGGCAGGATATCTGACCACATGGGGGAAGCCATCTTTGACCACAGGGTTGCAGCCATCTTATGTATTGGAGTGATGGTCAATCTGCATATTACTCTTTTATTAGATATGACTAGAGGCCCAGTGCACTAAATTTGTGAACCCAGAGTGTCCCTCAGCCCAGCCTGCACCCTCTACAATCCAGAACCCCTTGGAGGATGTCTGACTGCTGGTTTAGGGCAAATCCCCACCCTGATTGCCCCCAACTGTCCTCCCCTGCCAGCCTGATCAACCCTAACTGCCCTCCACTGCAAGCCTGATCACTCCTAACTGCTTGCTTCCCCATGCCGGCCTGATTTCCCTTAACTGCTTGCTCCCCTGCCAGCCTCATCACCCCTAAACACCTCTGCCTTGGTCCCTGCAACCATGGCTTTGTCCAGAAGGAAGTTGGACATCCAGAAGATGTCTGATTGACCCGTTCTCACTAGCATGTTATCCTTTTATTAGTATATATTATGTAAAAATCTCCCATTTATCTTTGTATCTCATACTTTTTACCATGAAAATGTTTTAAATTTTTACCATTAACTGTTTAAAAATAGTTAAATATGTAAGTATATTAACATGTTTCTTTGTAGTACAATGCTTAGAAAACCTTGCTCTATTCAAGATCAGATAATTATTACCAACTGTTTCTTCTGTTCAATACCAAATCCAGAGCCACATTGCTTTAGCTATTGTAGTTTTACATTATATATTGATTTTTTAGATCAACAAATATTCCTTAATTATTTCTTATAAATATTCACCAATTTTTACTTCAATATATAGTTATACAATAGTCCTATTAAGCACAAAAACAATTCCATTTATATCTAGAAATAAATTGCATTAAGTTTGTATATCAATTTAGAGAAAGTAAAAAACTAAATTATTTATAATTATGAGGCTTCAAAACCAAAAATATATACTTTTCACCTATATTCTCAGTAAAATGTATTTTTCTTCATATAAAACTCTGTATATTTTTATTAATCATGCTATCCTAATATGAATAAAATTTTTCTACTATATTTTCTAAATAATTGCTTATTTTTCATTTTTTTTTAATTTTACTTTTCAATTACATTTAACATACATTATGTTAGTTTTGGATGTACAACACAGTCATTAAATAATTGCTCTGATAAAAAAAAGAAAAGCTGTTGTTTTTTATCTATTTTGTATTCAGCCACTATATCATTTTAACTATATCATTAATAACAAATTTGTGTATTTTCTTGTATTTTTCAGAAGGAAAATTATATAATACTAGAGGACCAGTGCACGAGATTTATGCACAGTGGGGTGGGAGGAAAAGGGGGGAAGGGTCCCTCAACCCAGCCTGTACCCTCTCCCATAGGGGACCCCTTGAGAGATTTCTGACCACCCATTTAGTCCTAACTTCCCTCCCCTGCAGTCCTGCTCCCTCCCAACTGCTTTCCCCTGCAGGTTTGCCGCCCCCCTACTGCCCTCCCCTGCTGATCTGGTCCCCCCCAACTACCCTCCCCTGCTGACCAGGTTTTCCCCAACTGCCCTCTGCTACAGGCCTGGTCCTTCCCAAATACCCTCCCCTGCTGGCCTGGTCTCCTGCTGGCCTGATCACCCCTAGCAACCCTCCCTGCTGGTTGATTGCCCACAATGGCCCTCCCCTGCTGGCCCAGTCCCTCCCAACTACCCTCCTCTGCAGGCCTGGGTCCCCCAAACTTCCCTCCCCTGCTGGCCTGGTCTCCTGTCACCCCTAACTGCCCTCCCTGCTAGCCTAATTGCCCACAACTTCCCTCCCCTGCAGGCCTGGTCCCCCAACAGTCCTTACTCTGCAGGCCTGGTCCCCCTAACAGTCCTACCCCTGCAGACCTGGGTTCCCCCCCAAATATCCTCCACTGCAGCCCTGGCCCCCAACTGCCCTCTACTGCAGGCCTGGTCCCCCCCAGTTGCCCTCTCCTGCAAGCCTGGTCCCCCCAACTGCTCTCCCCTGGAGTCCTGCCTCCCCCAACTGCCTTCTCTGCCAGTCCTAATCCCCCCACCAACTGCCATTGCCTACTGACCTGGTATCCTCCAACTTCCCTCTTCTGGTGGACCAGTTACCCCTCACTGCCCTCCACTGAAGGTGTGGTCCTCCCCAACTGCTTTCCACTGCAGGCCTGATACCCCAAAACTACCCTCCTCTGCAGGCCTGAGCTTCCCCCCCCCCAACTTCCCTCCCCTGCTAGCTTGGTCACCCCCAACTGCCCTTCCTGCTTGCCTGATCACCCACAACTGCCCTCCCCTGCAGGCCTGATTCCCCTCAAATGCCCTTTCCTGCAGGCCTGGGTCCCCCACCACTGCCCTCCTTGCTGGCCTGATCTCCCCCAACTTCCCTCCTCAGCTGGTCTGGTCACCCCTAACTTCCCACAACTGCCCTCCTCTGCAGGCCATCTTGTGGCAGCCATTTTGTGGCAGTCATCTTATGTCCACATGAGGCAGCCTTATTTGACCACATGGGGGTGGCCATCTTGTGTTATTGTGTGATGGTCAATTTGCATATTACTCTTTTATTAGATAGGATTTAAATAATATTACTTTTGTCTATCTGCTCATAAAAATGTAGCTTCTTTTTTTGGTTATTTAGCAGCAATTTGAAAAATAGCAGTAAGAGCTGAAACCAGTTTGGCTCAGTGGTAGAGCGTCGGTCTGCAGACTGAAAGGTCCCAGGTTCGATTCCAGTCAGGGGCATGCACATTGGTTGTGGGCACATCCCTGGTAGGGGGTGTGCAAGAGGCAGCTGGTCAATGTTTCTCTCTCATCGACATTTCTAGCTCTCTCTCTCTCTCTCCCTTCCTCCTTTCTGTAAAATATCAATAAAATATATTTTTAAAAATAGCAGTAAGAGCCAGCATCCAGTTTAACTGAGTTTAATTGTAATGACTGCAGTGTTTTATTTTATTTTATTTATAATATTGTCTCAGTGGGAAATAGATTTCTTTTATTTTATTAAGGATGTTTACTTTTCTTTCTAGTTTAGTCCTATATGATTTCACTCATATGTAGATATAAAACAAGGGAACAAATGAACAAATAAAAACAAACAAAAATTCACAGACACAGACGTAAGATGGTTACTAGAGGGAGGAGGTTGGAGATGTAGTAAAGGGTAAAGGGGATCAAATATCCTATATAATAAAAGGCTAATATGCAAATTGACCAAACAGTAGAACGACCTGTCACTATGATGTGCACTGATGACCAGGGGGCAGACACTCAATGCAGGAGCTGCTCCCTAGTGGACAGTGCACTCTCACAAAGGGTGTGAGAGGATATAAGCCATCAGTTGAACATCCCTCAAGGACTTCTGGACTGCAAGAGGGTACAGACCAGGCTAAGGGACAACACACCCCCGGCCTCCTAGTGCAGTGCACAAATTTTATGCACTGGGCCTCTAGTATGGTGATAAAAGATGATTTGTCTTTGGGTGGTGGGTACACAATGTAATTATATAAAGATCATGTATGACAAAAATGTACATTTGAGACATATAATTTTATTAACCACTGTCACCCAAATAAATTTAATTTAAAAGAATAAAATACAACTCTCAGTGTTGTAAAAAAAAAAATGAATGATGTTAAATTTTATTAATATACTCTTAGTGTGTAAAATTAATATACTTTAAAACTGGCAAGATACTTAGTACAGACTTATTAGTTAATAAGGTCAAATATATTCATTTTTAAAACCTGTATAATTTTATTAAACAATGTCAGTCACCCCAATAAACTCAACTTTCAAAACTTTAAAATATTCACTTGTTAAAAATTTTAAAAGAGCATGATATTCTTTACCTGTAATGCTTCTTTCAGTTGTTCCTGAAGGATTTTGTTCTCAGCTTCCAGACTATATGCTGTTTTCTAGGATGCAATATAGGGGGATACAGGGAGGTATTTATTTTGGTACTTTTGTTTTTATTAACTTATTGTTATAGTTACTACATTACTAAAATCCATATAAACAGCCCAGATGATGATGTGAACATATACATTTACTACACACTTAACAGGCATAATGGTGGATAATTTCTATACCTTTAACTTCCTATTGATTTTCCATATGCAATTTGATTTTGGATCTGGCAAACTATAAATAGAATAAATTAAACATTTCTTTTCTCTGTTCTTCTGGCATAAAATATTTAAATATAAACATTTCAAATTTTATAGAAAGAAGCAACTTCGTTCTTAACACAAAATAAGCTTAGTTCTGACTTTTTGAGGAGTGGATTCTATTATACATTAAATAGACCAAGAATTCTTCAGCAGATGGAAGACAGTTTGAGGAACTATACCTAAAGTCCCCAATTCTGCTCTGGCATATCAGAGCAAATTCCTACTAGACAAGCCCTATGATATATAACCACCATAAACTATGAACAAAATACTGTATAAATATTAACATTTGAAAGCTATCCCATTGTTTAATAGTTAAGATTCTTGAGAGAAGTTGATCAAGAGTATTAATATTCTTGGGTTTTGGCTCCTAGTCTGAGGGCAAGCTCTAGCTGAACCAGGTAAGGCACCTAATAACTGATAGAATGCCTGATTTTTAGACTTTGCAAACCAGAGGAGAGAGTTCAGGGCAATCACAGCCACTAGAAAGGTTAGGAGAAAGTCACACAAAGAAGAAAGCTGGAGACAGGTAGCCCCAAACTGTTTGTATAATCTCTGCCCAAATCTCCCCCTAACCTCTAAACCACATATGTATAGGAAAGAATCTAAGCAGCTCAGTAAAAGCTAAAAAAATTAAATGTCATTGGAGCCTGCCTAAGCACAGAATTTTTATTTTCCATCAAATCATATTAATTATATATTAAAGCAAAACAAACAAAATTATACCAAAAATTGAAAGAATATAGCAGAATCCATAATTTCAACATGACTTTCCCAATATCCAAGATACAATTTAGAATTACTTGACATTGGAAGAAATAGGAAATTATCCTTACTCGTAAAATAAAAGACAATCACAGAGATTATCTCAACATAGTCTGAATTTTAGAATTAGTATAAAAATTGTAAAGCAACTCATAAAAATCCTATATAATAAAGAGCTAATATTCAAATGGTCTCATGCTAATATTCAAACCTGCTCTCATGCTATCAGCCATACTCAGACACTCAACACTGGAGAGAAAGGAATGGGGACCAGCCAGGCACAAATGAGCTCATGAGAGAGGAATGTGAAGCAGCCAGGCTGTAGCCCAGGAGAGGGACATGCCACCCACCCCACGATCCCAGGCACCAGCAGCTGGGGATGCAACCCAAGAGAGGGACAAGCCGCATGCCTCACGGTCCCCATGGTCCCAGGCACCAGAGGCTGTGCCTGCATCTGTGGCCCAGGAGAGGCACAAGCTGCCTACCCCACAGTCTTGGGCACCTGGGACTGCAGCCCAGGCAAAGCTGCCTGCCCACAGTCCCCTGAGCTGTGACCAGCCCAGGCAAAACTGGCCTGGGCCCTGAGTGCCTGCAGCTGGCTAGAGGGAAGAAAGCCTAAGTCCTGGGTTCAGGGCAAGCCAGAGTGGTTAGGGATGATCAGGCCAGCAGGTGATCAGTTAAGGGCAATCAGAATGGTAGGAGAGCAGCTATGGGTGATCAGGCAAGCAGGCAGAGGTGGTTAGGGGCGATCAGATAGACAGGCAAGCAGTTAGGAGCCAGCAGTCCTGGAATGCAAGAGGCAGTTAAACATCCCCCTGAGGGGTCCCAGATTGGAGAGGGTCCAGGATGGACTGAGGGACCCTCAACTGGTGCACAAATTTCATGCGCCATGCCTTTAATATCCAAAATAAAAGAAAATATGTTCATAATGAATTAAATTATGGAAATCCCAGAATAGAAATAGAAACTATAAAAACAGCCTAATATAAATTGGTGTATAGAAAAATATAGCATCTGAATTTAAAAATTTAAGGGATAAACAAGAGAGCAGATTGGATAAATATGGCAATATAATGTGAGATCATTTAAAGATTCATCAATAGAAAATATGCATCTAAAGACAGAGAATAATGATGGGATCAAGTAAATAAAGACTGGAAAATATTTGAAATAATATCAAATAACTAACAGGTAATTATATTGAGAGAGAGAGAGAGAGACAGAGAGAGACAGAGAGAGAGAGAGAGAGAGAGAGAGAGAGAGAGAGAGAGAGAGAGAGAGAGAGAGAGAGAGAGAGAAACAGAGTAGAAAAAGTGGCTTGCAAAAAATAGTTGAAAATTTCCTAAAATTTACATACTCAGGTTGTTCAGTAAACTCTAAGTTGATATAAAGAAAATGTTCTAATGAACCAAATAAACTGATGATCAAAAGTATACCCAGAGTCATAGAAGCATGAATAAACTGTTGAACCTCAGAGGGAAGACAAGAGAGAGTGGGTGGAAAGAGATCAATCAATGAAACTGCATGCATATATGCATAACCCATAGACACAGACAATGGGTGGTGAGGGTGGCAAGGTGAGAGGAGAATTGGGAGCAGGCTGGAAGAGGTTAATGTGGGGAAAAGAAGGACCTATGTAATATTTTCAACAATAAAGATTTGAAAAATAAAAAGAGCCCTGACCAGTTTGGCTCAGTGGATAGAGTGTTGGGCTGTGGACTGAAAGGTCCTGGGTTTGATTCCAATCAAGAGCATGTACCTTGGTAGCATGCTTGATTCCTGTAGGGGGCATGCAGAAGGCAGCTGATTGGTGTTTCTCTCTCATTAATGTTCCAACTCTTTACTTCTCTCCCTTCCTCTCTGTAAAAAGGCAATAAAACATATATATGTATAAATAATCTATACTAATAAAAGGATAATATGCAAATTGGTCACGATACCCTCAGAGTAACAACCAAACAGCAAGCTGCATGAAGCGACCAGGGCAGCAGGGGGATTAGCGAGGGACGACTAAACAACTGAACAGCAGGCTGTGTGGGGTGACCAGGCTGGTGGGGGGGCAGTGAGAGGCGACCAGGATGACAGAGGGCGTCAGTGAGGGGTGACCAGGCCAGCAGGGGGATGAGCATTTGGGGGCGACCAGCAAAGGAGGCAGTGAGGAGCAACCAGGCTGGCAGGGAGGGCAATAAGGGCCTGGCGGGGGGAAGTTGGGGGTGATAAGGCTTGTGAAGGGGGCATTTGGGGATGACCAGGCCAGTGCGGGGGGAAGCAGTTGTGGATGGCCAGGCTGGCACCGGGGGGAGTTGGGGGCAGGCAGGCTGGCAGGAAAGCACTAAGGGGCAACCAGTCAGGTGGAGGGGGGCAGTTGAGGGTGACCAGGCTGGGGGGGGAGGGGAGGGCAGTTAGGGGAAACCAGGCTGGCAAGAAGGACATTTAGGGGCATCCAGGCTGGCAGGCAGAAGTGGTTAGGGGTGATCAGGCTATCAGGGGGTGGGGAGAGACAGTTAGGGATGATCAAGCAAGCAGGCAGGTGAGCAGTTATGAGCCAACTGTTCCAGATTGTAAGAGGGATGTCCCAGATTGGAGAGGGTACAAGCTGAGCTGAGGAAACAGCCCCCCCCCCCCCCAGATGCATGAATTTTGTGCACCAGGACTCTAATAATAAAAAGAAGAAAATAAAATGGTGCCCACACACTTCATAGTCAAACTGTTGAAAACAAAGTTCCAAAGGGATAAAAGGCAGAAGAAATATAAATAATAAATTATTAGGAAAACAATACTTTCTTGAACTAAGTAAAAATTAAAATCTTGTAAAATTTCTAAATTTCAATGATAAATGAGAGCAAAAAATAAAGAAACAGTTCTAGAAAACATCAAACTACTATACCCACATTTACCAAAACTTTCCATGAGATTTAAATAATATTCTATTTTGTTTGAGCTATTGAATTTTATGGAGTCTCATTATCTAGCCTAGTTTCTAACTAATAAGTATATAGAGAATTAAAATAATGAAACAAATCTAGATTTAATTAATTTTATAATGAGAGAAGAGAGAGAAGAGAAAGAAAGCAATCTATAGGTTCAATGCACTCCCCATTAAAATAGCAACGGCATTATTTAACTGAGCCAGAAAGAACTCTCCAAAAGTTCATTTGGAACAATAAAAGACCCCAAATAGCCACAGCAATCCTGAGAAAGAAGAGTAAAGTAGGAGGGATCTCAATACCAGACTTCAAGCTGTATTACAAAGCCACTGTTCTCAAAACAGCCTGGTACTGGCACAAGAACAGATATATATAGATCAATGGAATCGAATCAAGAACCCAGATATCAACCTAAATCACTATGCTCAATTAATATTTGACAAAGGAGGCACGAATATACAATGGAGTTAAGACAGACTCTTCAGTAAATGGTGTTGGGGAAATTGGAAAGATACATGCAAAAGAATGAAACTAGATCACCAACTTATACCATACACAAAAATAAACTCAAAATGGATACAGGACTTAAACATAAGATAGGAAACCATAAAAATACTAGCGGCATCCACAGTCAGCAAAATCTCTGACATATGGCCGGGACCGGTTTGGCTCAATGGATAGAGCGTCGGCTTGGGGACTGAAGGGACCCGGGTTCGATTCCGGTCAAGGGCATGTACCTTGGTTGCGGGCATATCCCCTGTAGGGGGTGTGCAAAAGGCAACTGATCGATGACTCTCTCTCATCTATGTTTCTAGCTCTCTATCTCTCTCCCTCTCTATACAAAATCAATAAAAAAAAAATTAAAAACAAAAATCTCTGACATATGCCAAAAGAACTTCTTCACTGATACTGCCCCTAGGGCAATAAACAAATGGAACTAAATAAAAATAAAAAGCTTTTTTACAGCAAATGAAACCATCAACAAAACAACAAGAAAGCCCACTGTATCGGAGAACATATTTGCAAATGTTACCACTGATAAAGGTTTAATCT